AAGGGGAAACGAGTGCGGTCTCACGCAAATGAAGCGCACCAAGGCAGAGAAAGCCTAGATAATGCCCAAGTGATGTTTCATCCCAAAACCAATTAGTGGAATGAGGAATAACCCAATGGACTTATGAATTAGACCTATTTTCCCTATATAAATGATGTGGGACAACTCACAAGTGAATATTTTGATACGCTTCTCACTTGTGAGTCCTTCATAAGAAGCCCAAGCCCATATATGGAGTCGGGATCCAAGCCCAACAGAGCCGAGAAAAACGGGTACGTCATCACACGATCCTAATAGAATCGGCTCTGATACCATGTAAGAAACAACCGAAAAGGGGTGGGTGGGGGAACGAGTGCAGTCCCACGTAGATGAAGCGCACAAAGGCAGGAAAAACCCAGATGAAGCCCAAGGGAGGTCCATCCCAAAACCAATTGGTGGGAGGAAGAGTAACCCACTAGACTTATGAATTAGACCTATTTTCCCTACATAAACGTGTGGACAACTCACAAGTGAATATTCTACTAGTAAAACTAATAAATTTATCTTTAAATATATTATTTATAATCTTAGTACACTATCATTTGGTGTAGACGTTTATTATATGAATCATTAAATATTTTTATTTAATACAATTAAATACAGTTAAAGAAAATTAAGAAATTTCTCTAGACCAAATCGATTATTGTGTTGGGATCTATGAGGATCTCGCTATGTACAATTTACGAATTCAATAGCAAACGTAAATCTATGTGCAACGGATTTAAAGGTTTAACGTAAAAAACTTACGGCTTAAAATGAATATGACAGATTTGAATTTACCGGGACTGGGACACGTGGATGTCGAGAACACGAACACGTGTCGCGGGGATCAGCTCGTGTCGTGGTGCTGCGACGGTCGGGTCGCGTGGGCTACCGTCGATCACGACGTCGCGGACTCGAATCATCGGCGGCAATCGTCGGCTGTCCGGGTGCTGTCGGCGGTAGTTCGGTTCGGCTCACAATGGTCAGCGGTCGTCTCCGGGGTTGATGAATATATATATTTATCACGGGTCTCGATTATCTCGGGATCTTCTTTATTACTCGTACACCTCTTCAACTTGTATTCGTGGAACAACAAGAAGAATATAAAACTTGAATGAGAACAACAAGAAGAAGATAAAACTTGTATTCCATCGGTTTTCACGTGAGATGGGAAAATCTGATCTCTTCTCATGAGCTTAATGATGTATATATAGAGCTACAATAGGGATCCTTAGGATATAGGAATAGAGCTTCTTAAGTAATGAACTAACTGTAAGCCTGGCCCATACCCCCAATTACTTAAATAATATTTTGGTCCACTAACATAATATTATTGCACTCCATTTTTCTAGCCCAAATTACAATTGAGACTCCAATATTAATTACCCGAATTACCTCCCAATATTTAAGATATAATGTCCATTAATTAATTCAATTATTGACAATCAAGAATTAAACAATTTTTTAATATTTCATCGATGCTATTATTACTATGGCATAAATTAATCCACCTGCAGGGTTTAACATAATAATCCTTCATGAATTCACTTCTGGGACATCATCAAAACTAAACGTACATGGTGACCGTAGATATCCTAACAATACATAATACATAAAACAATATTATCCAAGACAGTAAGAATATTAGTCCAGCGAACTAAACCTCACCCAAGTGAGACAAAGTAATATATACTACACATATATGTCTGTTTAATATTTTACGGGTTTAGAGAAGACAGTAATTGACCGAGGCCTAGTTCGTTTACGATGATTATTATAAAACGAACTTCTCCTCTTTGGGATCCTGTTCAATACATAAATGTACTAGTGCAACTAATCAGTCAAAACCAAATATACCGCTGACACTACAACGTTTGGATGGGGTGTTCATTTACATCTAGGTTGTGAACCACAATTCTTATTTTGCAAGTAAATGATAGAATAATCTTCTGTTCGCGTGATGAAGACCCAATCTATCTAAGTGCAAAACAACAGAACATAGAACTTGTTTAATCAAACATGATTCTCATATAAAGGGTGAAAGTGTAATATCATCCAAGCCAAGCTTTTAGTATATAACACTAACAATCTCCCACTTATACTTAAAGCTTTTACTTTTACAAGTATAGTCCTATCAATCCGTTATTCTAAAAGACACATGTCGATTCTATCGTCATACACCTGACTCCATTCCTTCCACGTGTTTGACGAAGACCTTCCCCCGTGAAAGGATCAGCTAGGTTGTCCTTTGATGCAATCTTGGCAACATCAACGTCTCATCTACCAACTATATCTCGTATCAGATGGTACTTGTGCTCTATGTGTTTGCTTGGTTTGTGGGCTCGTGGTTCCCTTGAGTTCGGTACTGCTCCACTGTTATCACAGTACAATTTGATATAACGTGGCAAACTCGGAATCACCTCTAAGTCCACTAAGAAGTTTTTGAGTCAAACTGCCTCATAGGCTGCGATGTACTCGGCTTCCATGGTGAAGTCTGCCAACATTTCTGCTTAGCCTAGAATATTATTTACTATTTATGAAGCACCCGACCACAGCCACGGTTCGCACCACCCAACCGAGCCCTCCACCACGCAACTCGTTCCACCGCAGCTCACTCCCGTCTTTGTGCCTTCACCAGCCGGACCCAAACGCACCAGGATCGTGCAGCTCCGTTCGCGACTGTACACACGCCGTTCTGTCGAGTTCCGACGCGCCCATCCCGAGTTCGCGCCTCCTAAGCCGTGCCCGTTCAACCCGAGTCCAGAGACGAATCGCGCACCGAATCACTCGAGTTCAGCTCCGTCCAGCCCGAGTCTACCGTAACCAGCTCTGTTTTTAGCCTACTCGCGACCGTGCGCTGACTTCCAGCCATCACTGAACCGAGTCCCAACCATTTCAAACCAATCAACTCAAAACCGAGTTGACTCGCTCCGGCCTGACTCGCCCAGCTTCAGATCCGAGAAGTTCAGCCCAGGTCTGACCTGTTTTTAAGAGGTCCTGGCCCGGTTCGCTTCAACCGATCCATTTTCTTTAGCTCAATCTATTCTCAGTTTCTCCAATTCGAGCCTGATTTTTAGGTAAAATGGCTTGAACCCTTCTCCATGAGTTTAGTTGTGATTAATGAGATGATACAAAAATGATAATTTGGTGATTTTAGTGATTTTTGAATTTTTTGGATTTTTTCGAGCTGGAAGTGCATTCTTTGAGCTTTTTATATTAATGCGATAAAATGGGGAATTGAATTTTATATATTTGGTTGCATTGTCTTGAGGCTTAGGATTCGGGTCGGGAAATTTTGGAGTTTGTTTGATAGGTGAACCGATTTTATGCGTATTTGACCGGTTGATGCGATTGTTAGTTGAATGGGTTAGGAGTTGACTTTGGACTTAGTATTTTGGCCATAGACCATTTGTATGTTGAGGATGATATGTTCTATATTTCGTGCATTTTGGGTGTCGTTTGACTTAGATTAAAAATTGGGACTTTAGCCGATAAGATCGATATTTAAGAATATTAGTCGGATATGATTTTAGCTGCAGTTGTTGATTATAAAGTCGATATAAATCACATATAAATTAGTGACTTAAATATTGACTTTAAATGAGTTAAGATTTTTGAGAATCAGAAACCCTAGTTTTATGCGTTTCCGATAATCGGGCTCGAATCCGAGTTTAATCGACCGAACTCTCGTGCCGTTTAAATAAATGTAGACGTCGTAGCATTAATTGTTAACGCGTATCATCATCCCACACACGTGTTCGACTCTCGTCCGACCGTTGGAGACGAACCACCGAGTGTGTGCCCGTGCACCGAGTCCGTCCGATCTACCGTCTCGCGATATGTTTTGTTAGTTGTGTCCAAGCACGCCTCTGCGTTAGTAACCGTGACACCATTTTTAACTCGTACATCAGCTAAGCCGTGCCAGTCGAGTTTGTGCAGACCCCGAGTTGTCTCCGAAACTGGACCACGGTTAAACCGAGCTACACATAGACAAACGAATGATCGACCGACTCCTAGATAGTCGTCGGTCCAGCTCAGTCGAACCAGTCCAGACGGGTCGAGAAATTTCAGATAAATTTCAAATCAAGTTAGATTTAAGATTTCAATCTGATTTATAATTTTTGATAGATTTAAGATCCAGATAGATTTAAAGATCTATATATAATTCAGATTTAGCTAGATTAAAGATTTCAGTCAGATTTAGACCAGTCTGATTAGATTCAGTCAGATTATAGTTCCAGACTTAGAAGTATTTCAAAGAACTCTAGTATGCCTCAAAGACAATAAATTTTTAAAATCATCTCGTAAATCCGTAAAATGATTTTTGAAAACCGAGTGAGCGAACATAGACAAATCAGATATGAGTGGTGTGATGCCCAGCATAAGTCTAGCGTTCATATGAGTGGTGCTATGCCCAGCCTGGACTTCTGTTAGAGGGGACCCCTAGAATGTGCATATGAGTACTGGATTACTGATAGTCCCATAGTTAGCCAATTTATTTACGCATATGCCGATTTCATGATTTGGTATTAAATGTGATGAATATTCAGTGTCGGTTCAGGCGCCACACGTGGATTATATATGCTCACGCCCACACTAACCGTTTTTCAGGTGGCGGAGTCCCGCGTGACGCGTGAGTGGATATGTTATGGTGGTCCAGCTTCAGGATATTTTAGTGATAACATGTCATGTAGTATTTGAACATGTTTGGATTATATATGTTTTGTTTGATGCTTGCTTGTGTTTTCTGAATTTGTGTTTGCTTCTGCATGTTAGACTTGTATATTAGATTTCAGATTTATCTGCCAGATTTTAGATTAGTATTTCAGATGTCAGACTTTAAGAAATTCATATTTAATCCGGTACTATTCATGGCCTTAATTCTAGAATAAATTTTTACTTGGTCGCATGCATGATAAATTAAAGAGATAAAGCTATAAGATTAAAGTTGAGTAGCATCCTGTAGATTAAAGTTAAAGAAATGTTCAAAAATTAAATCAGTGCTTTCAATTTATAGCGCGAAAAATTTACTCTGATTTTAGTAAGTTTAGGGAGGTGTTACACTCGTCCCTGTCTGCCTGGAAATCGGAATCACTGTAACCAAGAGGTAACAAGTTGTCTGCACGGTAAACTAACATGTACTCCTTAGTTCTTCTCAGGCACTTGAATATATGTTTCACCGCAGACCAATATTCCACTCCTGGATTACTTTGATATCTAGCTACCATGCCAACGACATCCGGCCTCGTACACAACATAACATACATAGGATTTCCTAATGTCGATGCATAAGGAACTGTCTTCATGTCTTCTATCTCTTGGGACGTCTTAGGAGACATCTCCTTGGATAGACTAATTCCACTTGTGAAAGGTAACATACCTTTCATAAAATCATGCATGTTGAATCTAACCAAGACAATATCTATGTATGAAGATTGGATAAGCACAACATTCTCTTCTCACGGTCTCGAATGACCATAATTTCAAGATTGTGTCCTGCTTCACCTAAGTCTTTCATATCAACTACTTAGACAACCACACATTTACGCCTGATAGCTAATTCTCACTGTTTCCAATAAGAAGTATGTCATCTACGTAAAGCAGAAAAAACACCATCACGCTCCCACTGAATTTTTTGTACACACAGTGCTCATCCAGAGATTGAGTGAACCCATACGACGGGATCACTTCACCAAACTGGATGTTCCAAGATCTCGAAGATTTCTTTAGTCCATAAATAAATCGATTAAGCTTACACACTAGATGCTCATGTCCCTTAGCAATTAATCCCTCTGGTTATTGTATATAGATGTCATGCTGAAGGTTTCCATTAAGAAAAGTCATCTTGACATCTGTCTGCCAGACCTCATATTCCATTTGAGCAGCTACAACCAACAGAATCTGAATGGACTTGAGCATAGCTACTAGCAAAAAGGTCTCATCAAAGTATATACCCTCTATCTGGGTATAACCTTGCGCAACAAGTCTAGCTTTGAAGGTTTCCACCTTCCCATCTGATCCTCTCTTTCTCTTATAGACGCACTTGTATCCAATGGGTCGTACCCCATCGGGTGGTTCTACAAGATCACAGACCTGATTTGAGTCCGTTGACCCCATTTTAGCTTTCATTGCAACATTCCAGGAATCTGCATCTTTATGTTGGAGTGCCTCGTTGTTGGTCCTTGGGTCCGATTTTAGGTCTCATGGAACTGCATCCGATGACTCTCCAAGACCTATCCATTGGTCGGGTAAATGAGAAATCCTCCCATTATGACGAGGTACTGTCTACACGGGTACACTCTCAGTGTGACGTGTTGCAGTATAATGTGATGTATCTACTTGCGCACTCGGTGGGGAACTATCGACTTCACTCCTCAACTCCTCTCAGACAAGTCTACTCGCAGGCTTGTGATTCATAATATAGTCTTTTCCAAGAATCTAGCATTCGTACTAACGATCATCTTGTGATCCTCGGGACTATAAAATAATCCACTTTTCATTCCCTTGGGATAGCTAACGAACACTTGTGATTCCGAACATTTCTTCAACTTACCAGGTTCCTGCACTAACACATGTGCATGGCTACCACATACTCAAAACTGTGAGAAACTAGGCTTGCGCCCTTTCCACATCTCATAAGGAGTAGTGTCAACTGACTTCGAAAGAACCATGTTCAGTATGTACGATGCGTTTTCCAATGCCATACCCCAGAATGATTCTGGTAACTTTGAGCAACTCATCATTGACTGAATCATCTTCATAAGAGTCTTATTTCTTTGCTCTGCAACTCTGTTATGCTAGGGCATATCGGGTGCTGTCAATTGGGATTTAACCCCATCTTTCGATAAGTATGTCCTGAACTCTCCAAAGAGGTATTCGCCACCTCAATCAGATCAAAGGGGCTTGATAATCTCACTATGAAGCATCTCCAAAACTGCCCGATAGTCCTCGAATTTCTCAAAGCATTCGGACTTGTGGTGCAATAGGTAAATGTACCCAAATCTCGAGTAATTATCAATAAAAGAGACAAAATACTCGTAACCATCTCTAGACTGGATCGACATAGGACCAGCACTTTTTGGCTCCTGAACGCCTTTGCCGTAAACGGTCTCTTGTCCATCTTACCTTCTAGACACGAATCACAAGTTGGATAATGATATTCTAATGGACCGATATGTCCATTAGATACCAACTTTTCAATCTTCCTAAGGTTGATGTGTCGAAGCCTAATGTGTCAAAGATATGCTTGATTCATCTGCGAAGAATCCTTCCTCTTATTTGATTTAGTCATGGTATTATTCAGTTTAGTTTGTTGCACTGTGGGATAGTTTGGTTCAAGAACATATAAATTATCATCTAATGAACCAGAACAAATCAAATGATTTCCATAACAAATAATAACCAAGTAATGAAACGTAAATGAAAAAACATCCAAAACAAGCTTAGAAACTGAAATAAGGTTCTTTCTAAAACTAGGAACATAAAGGCAATGTATGAAAACCAAACTACTACTATCAAAAGATAAAGTAACGTCTCACACTGCAACAGCCGCCACTTTCGTGGCATTCTCATGTAGACGGTGATCTCTCCCTCTTTAAGTCGTCTGGTTTCCTAGAACCTTTGCAAGGAATTGCATACATAAGCAGTGGCTCCAGTATCTACACCAGGTTATGGTAGATACAACCGCTAAATATGTTTCTACGACATTTATAAGGGAGTTGCCTTTTCTTGAGGAGAGGGAAGTCGACCTTCCAGTGTCATGACTTGTTACACTTGTGGAATCTTCTTTTTGGTTTCTTTGCCACAGCCAGAGGGGCCGGTCGTGGAGCAACCGGAGCATCATGTGCCTTCGCCTTTTCAGCACACTTCTTTCTCTTCATGCCCTTGTGAGGCCTAGAAGGTCCAACCTGCTCGGCGACTAGCACCTGAGGGTTTTGAGTGAATAAGTCTTCTGCCGACTGAAGCTCAGCTAGCAGTTCCGGAAGAGCCATATGCATCTTGTGCATGTTGTAGTTCAACCGGAACTGATCAAACCTCTTCTGGAGATACTGAGCATAATATCAACATGGGTTTCCCTGTCAATAAAACCTCCCATAACCTCAAGCTCAGTTAGCTGCGCCATAACCCTTAAAGAATGCTCTCTTACAGGTGTGCCCTCAGCCATACGCGTACTCATCAGAGCACTCAAAGATTCCTGCCTAGCAGCCCTAGGATGATGCCCAAACAAATACATGGGATTGAGAAGTATGTCTGTCACTGTGTTCATAGAATGATGTTGATGTTGAAGAACATTCGACATAGATCTCAGAATGTAATACTTTGCCATCTCATCAGCCTTCTTCCTCCGGGCATACTCCCCTTTCTGTTGTTCAGGAGCATCGGTCGCGGGCTCTACCGGGCAAGCCGCAGTGTTCGCAAACTTATACCCCTTAGAAGTCAACACAATGTTTAAGTTCCTCTTCCAATCAATGTAATGAGGACCAGTAAGCTGGTTTTCTTTTAGAATGACAGATAACTGATTGACAACATGACGAATATAGCCTGAGAATAATGTAAATAATTTTACAGATTATACACTTTGAATTTAACTGTTAATATTTATATTCTCAAGACAATATTTACTTAAATTTACCAACATCTCAAAACACAGTGAGTAATGCATGATACGAGGGTAACCCTACATTACGCAACATTCGCCATAGAAGGGCTTTTCAAGAACCCATTAATTTCCATAAGTCAAAACCAAATTAATGACGAACGAAATTAATAGTATGTCTCCGTTGGCCATGTAATAAAATTCAGGGACCCCGAGGGGGGTTAATAAATTTAATCGCATTATAAGTGAATTCCATTTCTCGATCCTAAGGTCATCTTATACGTCACCCGAGAAGAATCCCGTACGCTTTCATAAGATTTCCTCTAATCGTCTATTTAGAAATTCGTCTTGGTATTTTTCTACAATTAATTTTTGTGATGTCACCCGAGGGGAGCCATAATTCAATTAATTGATTTACCAACAAATTAGAAATGGAGACCTTAGGAATTTTGAAATTAACTTTAATTTAATATCTCTTCTCAAACATAGTATAATTTAAATGAGGATTTTTAAAGTATTTAAATATTTATGTAATTCTAAATTAATCTCATGCAAAAGTAATAATTAATTAACATGCATAAATAAATATGCAATCTTAAATTAATCTCATGTCAAAGCAATAATTAATTAACATGCATAAATAAATAATTAACTAATGGACATAATAAATTTAAATAAATAAATTCACTATTATGACCATTAAATATTTAGTCTCCTTAAACAAGGTAACATATCTGATTCTTTTCTTGTCCAACTAGAACTCCCACTACAGTAAAATCTTGAAAGATATTGTACTACATGTCCATTAAGTAAACCACCTGCCATCAGCATGCCGTTGTCGGGCCGCCACCGCCAGTCGCCAGAAAACCTGCCGGAAATATAATTTTTTTCTTCGCCACGCGTCTGGCCACCGCCCGGTGCCCTCCGCGCTGCCGTTCGCCGCCGATTGTGCTGTCTGGCCGTCGGCGGTCCGTTGGGCCCAAGTGCGGTTGGTTTTTAAAGTTCGTTGATCTCTTGTGATTTCCCAGTCATCAACACACAATCACAACATGAAAAATATAATTTACAAAATTACATATCCGATCCTAGATCCAACGAATTGATGTACATGTTTTCTAAACAAATAATTAAATCTATCCAGTCAACCCCTGGGCGAATAATTATTACAAACGTTCATCCATTAATTCATCGACATGTCTGGGGCTTTCAAAACTAATTTAAAACCATACATCACATTCAACAAATTCATCAAGCACATAATCAGCCATAATAGTGGATTAAACTAATTCCTGCAAAACCGAGTTATGCGAATATAATCTAATATATATGGCTGCGTTTGAACGCATATTATCAAATAAAGCTGTAAAAATTTGAATTTTGTACAAAACGAATTAACCAAGTGCTCTAGTACCACTTGTTGGAATCTATAAGGATCTCGTTATGTACAAGTAACAAATTCAATAGAAAACGTAAACATATGCTCAACAAGTCTAAAGGTTTGACATATTAAACTTACGGCTTAAAAATTTTTGAATCTCACGGATTCGGATTAACCGAGATTGGGACACGAGGATGTCGGCACCACGTACGTGAGGTGGGATTGGTCGATCGTGTCGCGGAGAAGGGCTTGTGTTGCGATGGTGTACCGGTCGTGTCGCGTGGGCTGTCGTCAGTCACAGCGTCGTGGGCTCAACTCCTCGGCGGTGATCGTCGGTTGTCCGTGGGCTGTCAGCGGCGGTCTGGTTCGGCTCACGGTGGTCGACGGTCGTCTCCGGGGTTGACATATATATATATATTAATCACGGGGTCTTCATTACCAGAAGATCTTCTACTGATTTACTCGTACACCTCTTCAACTTGTATCGGTGGAACAACAAGAAGAAGATAAAACTCTAATGAGGTCAAAAGAGAGATAGAGAAGGGGTCAACCGGTTTTCACATGAGACGTGAAAATCTGTTCTCTTCTCATGAGCTTAATGATGTATATATAGATCGGCTAGAGTATAGAGCTACTGTAGGGATCCTTAGGAGAATAGCAATAAGGATTCTTAAGTAATGGACTAACTGTGGGCCTGGTCTACTTCTCCAATTACTTAAATAATATCATAGGAAACAAACATAATATTATTGCACTCTCTTTTCATAGCACAAATTATAATTGAAACTTTAATAATAATTGCCCGAATTACCTCCCCATGTTTAAGATATAATGTCCATTATTAATTTGATTACTGACAATCAAGAATTAGTTAATATATTATTATTTCACCGAAGTTAGCGCACGTTCCCCACATTATTGCTATGCCGGAATTTAATCCACATGCAGGGTTTAACATAATAATCCTACATGAACTCACTTCGAAGACATCATCAAACTAAACGTACATGGTGATCGTAAATAACCTAACAACACATCACACATACAACACTATTACCCAAGACAGTAAGAATATTAGTCCAGCGAACTGAACCTCACCCAAGTGAATCAAAGTAATATATAAAACATATATATGTTAGTTTAATATCTTACGGGTTCAGAGAACGCAATAATTAATGGAGTCGTAGTTCGTTTCGGTGATCTGTATAAAACGAACTTCTCCTCTCTGGGATCTTGTTCAATACATAAATGTATCAGTGCAACTAATCAGTCAAGACCAATCTTGCCGTTGACACTACAACCATTCATATGGAGTGTTTATTTCCATCTAGACTGTGAACCACAATTCTTGTTTCGCAAGTAACTGATAGAATGATCTTCTGTTCGCCCGATGACAACCCACGCTATCTAAGTGAAAAAATTTTGTCCCATTTTTGTTGCGTTTTTTGTTATTATTTTTTCTTTTTTTTTTTCCTATTTTAGGTCTTTACGTTTGTTTTTTCGTTTCGTGTTTTCTTCCATGTATTCCTCTATTTAGTGTCTTTCTTTGTTTTTTTGGTTATTTTTCAGTTTTCTTCATTTTTGTCGTCTTGAGTGATGTGCAGGTTGAGTTCCTTGATTGTTTTGATATGTTAAGCACAATTTCTTAGAAGGGTTTGTTAAGTATATTTTTGGGCATGTGGTAACCGAGCTACCCGACTCGGGTCGTTCTCAAAGGAAGGCTCTTCGGAGCTTCGTTCACTATCTAGTCGTCAAAGTCACACAACCAAAAAGAAGGTCCTAAAAATTCTACTCGCAATTTGAGGGTTTGAATTTAAACTAGGTTAATCTACGAAATGAGAGCAATTGAAAGCAATTAACTAAGCACGCAAGAACATGAGAGAAATCAAGGGGGAAAGAGAGATTTTGGTTTTCTGGAGTCTCCATGATCAATCACACGCAAATAACCGAACATTGTCATGCTAGCTAAAACCCTAGAAAGCTAAACCAAGCTCTAGCACAAAACGAGCAAGCATTCAACTCCTAATCACACTTAGTCAAGCATTCACGATCTAAAGATTCGATCTTTTCCTCCAAGCAACTCAAGCACAATATCAATTTTCAGAAAAGCAAACAAAGATATACGAAGTAATGAGGCTAAAGACTAAGTACCCACTCTTACAAGCACTTGGAAGAAGAAACGGAGTCAAAAGCTCGAGACTTTACTCGAAACAATGTCGCCGGAAGTTCGCCGGAAAACTTGATTCATAAGCTCCAAACCAAAGCATAAAAAAAAAAAGAAAAAAGAAAATAGAGAGGAATTCCCAACTTAAAAGTTGGGAAATGAGGGTTGTCTCCAAAAATACAAAGCAACATGTCTATATATAGCTACACCACAAAACACACAGTAAAACACGCACATTTAGTAGGACACTCTCGAGCTCGCCGGGACTTCCGCGGGCACGCGACATAGGCGCTGGGACACTCTCGAGCTCGCGGAATGGGCCTCGAGGTCACGGGCATGCGCTGGAAGGCACTCTCGAGGTCGCGGGTTCTTCCTCGAGGTCGCGGGCATGCGCTGGGTACACTCTCGAGGTCGCGGGTTCTTCCTCGAGGTCGCGGCATGGAGTGGAAGGCACTCTCGAGGTCGCAGGTTCTTCCTTGAGCTCGCAGGCTGGGCATGCTGTGCGCGGGCAAGGGCTCGGTCATGGCCCGTTGATGCTCAATTCGCCGTAACTTCTCGCACACATATCCGACTGACTTGAAACTTTAACCCACGCTTCCCAAATCTCGTTCTCCTTGTCTTGAAGTGCTCAAATTGATATTGCCGCGTAATTAATATATGTTCTCGAGAACGATTTGAAAATGGCCCGTGTGGCTCGAACATGGTTCGGACGACTCGAAAATGTCTCGGAAATGGTTCGTCTTCCCAAGATCGAATAATGTGGACCTAAACAACACCAAAACAAAAGAGAAAACGCGCAAAAATACGAAAGCACTATACAATAACAAAAATACACAAAACACGATAAAATGGACCGGTTGAGCCTAAAAAGGGACCTAAAAACACTGAGAAAACGCGCAAAAATACGAAAGCACTACCCGACTCATGACATTGAGTTGGCGGTCGTTGTCCACGCGCTCAAGATTTGGAGGCACTATTTGTATGGTGGTCGGTGCGAGATCTACACCGATCACAAGAGTCTGCAGTACATCTTCACGCAGAAGGAGCTCAACATGCGCCAGAGGCGATGGTTGGAGCTAGTGAAGGATTATGATTGCACCATTCAGTATCATCCGGGGAAGGCGAACGTGGTAGCTGATGCCCTTAGCCGAAAGGCGAGGGGCGAGTTGACTTGCATGATCACCCAGCAGAGTCAGCTCCTTCGAGAGTTCGCTCGGATGCAGTTAAACGTCGTCGAGTCACTTCCTACGATGCCTGTAGTAGGAGGTGTCCGGTCGATAAGAGTGTGGACCATGCTCTGAGATCGAGTTCAGAGAGATCAGTCCATTGATGAGTTCGTCCGTTCCATGAGGGCGAAGGTTGTTGTCGAGGGCGTAGAGGGGTTTTACCGAGGCGTAGATGGTGCCTTGGAGTATAAGGGAAGGCTCGTTGTGCCGAATGTCGAGGCCCTGATGAAGGAGATCTTGACCGAGGCTCACAGTGCACCCTATTTGGCGCACCCCGGCAGCACCAAGATGTACCACGACCTGAAAGGGTCGTTTTGGTGGAGGGGCATGAAGAGAGATGTTGCTGAGTTTGTGAAGAAGTGCTTGGTTTGCCAGCAGGTGAAAGCCGAGCACAAGTTTCCACCGGGTTTAGTGCAGCCCTTGGAGATCCCACTGTGGAAGTGGGAAGAGCTTACCATGGATTTCGTTACGGGACTACCCAAATCGAGGGAGCAGCATGATGCAGTTTGGGTAGTTGTGGACCGACTGACGAAGACGGCTCGTTTCTTGCCCGTGCGGATGACGATGTCCATGGACCAACTCGCGACGATCTATATTCGCGGGGTAGTGCGACTTCATGGAGTCGCCAAGGTCATAGTGTCAGATCGAGACCCTCATTTTACCAGTCAGTTCTGGAAGAGCCTCAGCGAGGCCGTGGGGACACAGTTGAGGTTCAGCACCGCTTTCCACCCGCAGACCGACGGGCAGTCGGAGCGGACCATCCAGACACTCGAGGACATGCTTCGAGCATGTGTTCTGGACCGTGGTAGTTCATGGGAGGAGTTGTTGCCGTTGATGGAGTTCGCATACAACAACAGTTATCAGGCGTCGATCAGGATGGCACCGTACGAGGAGTTATACGGTCGCAAGTGCCGATCACCCCTTTATTGGGATGAGGTCGGCGAACGGCAGGTTCTCGGTCCGAAGTTGATCGAGGACACGGTGGAGCAGGTCGTCTTGATCCGTGAGCGGATGAAGGTGGCACAGGATCGACAGAAGCGTTACGCTAACCAGCGTAGACGAGATATCCAGTTCGAGAAGGGAGATAAGACATTCCTGAAGATCACGCCTTTGAGAGGCGTGGTTCGCTTCGGGAAGAGGGGGAAGCTGCAGCCCCGTTTCTTAGGCCCATTCGAGATCCTCGAGCGAGTGGGTGAGGCCGTATACCGATTGGCGTTGCCACCCGAGCTTTCGGGTGTGCACAACGTCTTCCACGTTTCGATGCTGAAGGATTACGTGTATGATCCAGCGCACGTGTTGAGTTACAGTGAGCTTGACGTCGGGCAGGACCTGACGTACGAGGTACAGCCGATTGCTATTCTGGACCGAAAGGTTCAGCAGCTGAGGAGCAGAGATGTAACGCTCGTTCGAGTCCAGTGGACTCACCACGGCGAGGCCGAGGCCACGTGGGAGCGAGAGGAGGACATTCGAGCTCGCTATCCAGATTTCCAGTTCTGATTAGTAGTATCATATTATGTATTTTCAGTTTCTAGTTTTAGTCGAGTTGGCCTTATGTTTTGTTTTATCATTTCCGGGGACGGAAATGTTTTAAAGAGGATAGATTGTAACACCCCGGACAAAAATTATATTAGTAGCTCGACTTATTTATCGAAATTAGTATTATTTTAATTATGCGGAGGATTATTAATATTAATTGCATATTTATTTATTTACAAGCCCAAGTAGTATTTTAAATAATCGAGCCTAGTAGCAATTAAATATCCGAGCCCAAGTCGTTAAAAATCGAGCCCAATCTATTAGGCCCGATTTTTAAGCCCAATTTCTACAAAAAAAAACCCTAAGCTCCCTACCCTCCTATAAATACCATGTCCCCATGTCTCCCAACACACCAACAAAAAAAAAATCCTAGCCCCCCCCCCAAGTTACTATTCATCTTCTCCCACATTTTTCAAGATCCAAACACCATCACCATCTCCAATTCTAAGATCTAAGCTAGTAAGCATTCCCAAGAACCACCATGGCTTGACCCGTTTTCCGACGACCAGCTCCTAGCTCCGGCGAACCGCCGCCGGAGACCTTCACGCGGCCACCATCACCGAAGCTCCACCTCCACAGCTCACCATCGTCCAGCTCTTCACGGCAAGAACACAGCCCGCAGCTCAAGCCCCGCAGCAAGATCTTGTCGCCGCCTCCACCCGTTTTTCCGGCGAGCTCACGTCGCCCTCCTTCCCGACGAGCAGCTCCGCCGCGTCCTAGCCTCGGTTCCAGCTCCTTCACGCCGGTTCGCACCCCACAGGCCCTCCACGACGCCGACCAGACCAAGCTCCTCCACACGGCCCGCGTCCCGACGAGCAGACCAGCAGCCCAGCTCAGCTCCGCCGCGTCACTCCAACCAGGCCCTCCACGACGCCGTCCAGCTCACAGATCCGCAACCACCCGACATCTTTACGAGCAGCAACCACCTCGTCCTTGCCGGTTCGAGCCACTCAAGCGCGGGTCCAGCAGTGAACCATCACCCCGAGCCGCCTCCGAACCAGAACCGAGCTCCCCGGCGAACCAGCAGTTCAGCCCCGAACCAGCTTCAAAACCGAGCCCAGCACCATTTCCGACCCACCAGCTCCTCAGATCCACCTCAAACCCGGGTCCAGCAGTCCAGATCCGTGAGACCCGACCCAGTTCGCTGCCACAGCCCCAAGAAATCCGGTCCAAGCAACCCCTAGTTGGACCGGTCCGACTTGACCGGATTCTTGCTCCATTTTTCTTCCATTTCCCTAGCCCGATCAGCTCTTTTTCGAGCATTTGAGGTATAACGGCTAAAGCTTGAAATATATGGTATAATTTGATGATATATACGAGATAAAATTTATGAAATGTTGATTTGAATTGATCGGTACATACGAGCTTAAAGCTAATAAATTGATATTTTTCGATAGACGCGTTAAAATGTCAAAATAAATATGATCAATTCT